GCCTCCATTTACTAGAACTGGGCTTTTTTTGAATAGCAGTGAGCAGTGCATATGAGGCATAAACGTAGCCACGCCTAGACCATGTGCGTGCAAGAGAAAGGATCACTTTCCGAGCACTCATTCTAGGGGGGTTGTGAAGTGGGCAAGACCCATGAATATGCCCTTCACTGCTTGCTTAACTAGGTGATGTCTGTGACCAAGGTACCAGCCTGCTTCAGGTGAATGTCTTTCAGTCATGTTTTTCTTCTGTCCCTTTGCAGATGTCACCCCCACCGTTCTGGACTGGTTCTCTGTGCCCTATCCCAGTTACAGCCTCTTTGGGAAGCGGCTGGTGCAACTCACTGGCAAGTCTCTGCTGCCAGCCCTGTCCTTTGAGCCGCCGTGGTCCACCGTGTTTGCAAGCCAGAGCCTGCATGAGGTGACCATGCACTACCCCATGCGAGCAGTGCAGCGAGGGCCCCTGCGCTTCATTCACAACCTGCAGCACCGCATGGCCTTCCCCATTGACCAAGACTTCTATGTATCTCCCACATTCCAGGACTTGCTGAACAGAACGCAGGCAGGGCAGCCCACCCACTGGAACAAGACTCTGCACACCTATTACTACCGGGAACGTTGGGAACTGTATGATCATAGCACTGACCCCTCAGAGAGCCACAACTTGGCTTTGGATCCGCGCTATGCGCAGCCTCTAGAGGAGCTCTGGGGGCTGCTGCTAAAATGGCAGTGGGAAACGGATGACCCTTGGGTCTGTGTACCTGATGGTGTCCTGGAGGACAAGCCCAGCCCTCAGTGTCGGCCGCTTTATAACGAATTCTGATTTTTCCTTCCCTGCGGTGGCAGCTCTTCCTTCCTCATTTAGAAGAGCAACAACAGGAAAAGCGCTGCTGCAATCCAAGTGGGCTTGGATATAAAGTGTATCTGCTGCAGTTTGTGGAGCAAAACACTGGGCAGTTGGCAGTGGGGGGGGGAGGAGGTGGAGTGAAATGCAGAAGCGTGATTGCTGCCCACAGATGGGGAAGTGATGCCTGTCAACATTTTTAATTGCTACAGATGCACACAGCACCCTAGCGAAATGTTTGCTGCCAAAGGAATGCTGTGAGTGCCTAATGCAAGAGGGTTGAATTCTTGGTCTACCAGATGGTTGGGCTTCCCATCAGTCTCACCCAGCATAGCCATAGTGGTACAGCGCAAAATAGCTGGAGGCCCCAGGGTCCCATAGCCTTGGCTTAATGGGTGAGGTGGGAGTTGCTCTGGTTATGGTCACACTGCATGGGTCAGCCCTACCCCAGCTTCCTCAATGTCAGAAATAGCACTTTCGCGGAAACGTGTGCAGCAGGACTGGGAACTGTGTGGCCCTCCAGATCTTCTTGGACTATAACGCCCATCAGTTCTCTCTCTCTCTCTCTCCCTCTCTCTCTCCCTCTCTCCATGTGTATGTGTGTGTGTGTGTGTGTGTGTGTGTGTGTGAGAGAGAGAGAGAGAGAGACCAGATCTTCTTGGACTATAATGCCCATCAGTTCTCTCTCTCCCTCTCTCTCTCTTCCTCTCTCTCTCTTCTCTCGTCGGCTAAAGAAAGGTTTTCAGCCTGCACATGGTTTCTCTCACTGTGAACCAACTGCTTTGTGGATTAGTCCTTCCCTGAAAAACTGTGATTGTCCTTAGAGACCTCCCTGCCCCGAACTCTCTCCCAGAATAGCTCCTCCTTTGGGAAGACGTGAGATGTTGCCTCATAGATTTCGACTCAGGGGGACACTATTGCACTTGTCAGTAGGAGGCCATAAACATGTAGAGTAGGAATTATCAGCAAGAATTTAATCTGGCACAGTTATTAATTTGACTCCTCTATGAGCAGGCTGGTTTTAAAAATGAAATAAAGTCATAACCTTTTTTAAAAGAATAAATTTTGTCTTTATAAATTATTGTAGTTGTCAAAGCAATAGCTGTGTTAGTCTGTGTACCAACAGAATAAAAAACCAAGCATAAGAATGTGGTAGCACCTTAAAGACTATTATATTTTTATAGATTTTATATTATATATATATATATTAAATTTCAGTGCAAATTCACACCAAAACATAAAAGTTATTCTTGAAGGTGCTACCTTTTTCCTGTATTTTGTTTGTTTTTGTCTGGCTATCCTTTACAAAGCTGATTGATCAAATGATGTATGGTACCTGCAGCCTCTGCAAATCACATCTGTTGTATCAACAGCTCAAGATTCTTTGGAAGCAGGTGTTGATAAGGCCAGAGGGATCTGGGATACCCAGTACAATGAAGGAGAGACCATATGATCACGTACCTGGTGTGTGGGTATGCATGGCATAGGTACTGCCAATCACATAAAATGCAACTGTAGTGTTTTTTCATGCTGTACAATGTACGAGAAGTATAATCTCAGTATAAACGAACATTTATCTAGAAATAATCGCTCCTCAGTTCAGTCGCATTTACTCCCTGGTAAATGTTAGGGTTGTTGCTGAAAGCATAGTAACTATACTATAGTAACTGAAATTTAAAGTATACAATATTATTGGGTACAGGACACGGAAACAAACATGCCTATGTCCCATAAAATCCATGGCATAAAAATGGGTGGGTATTGTGCAGCCTTCCACCTGCTGCTGGATTGCCACTCCTATCAGCCCTGGACAACACAGCCAATGATGACAAATGCTAGGGGTTGCAGCCCAACCACATTTGGAGGGCTACACTTTGCTTTAAAGGCTTTCAATGATGCTGAACAACCTACTGTGAAGCATGCCAAACATTCTCTAGATTATGCCCACCATTATTTCTGAAAATGGATCTTAGAATGTGGCAGAAATATGTGAAGGGGTCATCTGTTGGCTTTGTACGCTGGTTGCTACCAGTCTCTTAGTAAATGACCAATGCAAATGGCCGTGGTGTGCTCTCAAAATGAAAAGCACTGAGAACATCTGTATGAATAAGATGGTGAGTTATTATCTTGGGGGCAAGAGATACATGCTGTCTTCCCAACAGACACTTCAGCTTCACCGTGTGATTGTGGGATAACTGCAAGAAGAAAGGAAAGTGGTAAATCAAGTTGGGAAACCTTTGGCCTTCCCTGGGCTTGAAAAATCCCTGGATTCTGGGAACTAGAGTAAAAAAAACCTACCTTTCCCAAGCTCTGGTTAACTCCCAGAAGCCCCAGTCACCATGACCAGGTGCAAAAAAATTGTGCAAGTTGTTAAACTAACTTTCCCAAGCTCTGGTTAACTCCCAGAAGCCCCAGCCACCATGACCAGGTGCAAAAAAAAACTGTGCAAGTTGTTAGTCCAAACCATGGGGAGAGTCCAAGGAGTGCCCCTGCCATAATCAAGCCCTAGCCACAGATGACTCCCTGTGGGGCAGGAATGCAAGCCCCAAGCAGCTTCCGCTTCCTTCCTCCTCCTCCTCCTGCCCACCTGCCTTTGGCAGAAGAGTAGAACTAGAAGAAGACAGGAGAGGAGAAACTGGGCACATGCATTCCTGCTTTTAAAAGACAGCATGTTGCAAATATCCCAGTACTACAAGCTCACCCAGAGCTGGAACTGGGTCCACACATCAAAGATGATAAACTTGTAAGAGGATGACTGAGATTCTACTCGGCTCCAGAAGGATTAATGAGACACTTGCTCTACCCACACCACCTTCTTCTGCTCATCAGCAATGGCTGCACGGACACAGCTTGCAAGTCCATCGAGGTCATTCCAGGCATCAGGGGTGATGACCCCATATAGGCAAGGCACTGTCTCCAGCTGGGTCTCCTCTCTCCGGGTGCTGTCCAGCAACTGTTCCTCAGTAGCTCCAAGATGCTGCAGGGCTTTTCTAAAATGGCAGCCAAGCAAACAAGTTAGAAACAGCACATCTGTTTAGCCCCATTTTATGTCATGAGTGGTTGGAAAAGGACAGAGGCCCTAGTGGTAACTGGAGCAAACAACCCAGATCTGCCCATCCAAACTGGATGAAGGATGGGAGCTACTATAGAAAGGGATGTTGGTTTTTAAAGACATGTGGGCAGAAGTGATCTAAATGGGGAAATTGTGGTGGCAGGCGTGGCTCTCATCCACCTCTTTGGAGGGCACTGCAGGATGGAGTGAGCTAACGAACATCCCCTGCAATGCTTCACCAAACACGTAAGAAGTCACATGGCCAATTTATTTATGGCCATCTTGAACTCCAGCTCCAAAGGGAAGGGTCTGGCTTATGATTACACATCAGGACAGAAGAAGGCTTTCGCTTTTGGACTTCCGGCTGTACAGAAACTAGACAACCACCAGAGCACCGACACTTACCGGAATTTCTTGCCATTCTTCTCTGTGATGATGACGAGAATAATGATGGGATAGATTTCCATAGCCAGAAGGCCCTGCATGCTTTCCAGGCCCAGGTCCAGCCAGCCATGGAGATTCTAGAAAGGGTTAAGGTGAGAGGTTCGAGCACATACATCCTACTGCTCTAAGTGAGTGGCTAGAAACCATGCTCTCCTCATAAGAGGCCATTGCAGCTGCATCTCTGAGCCACAGCACCCTGCTGAACTCCCAGCCTCCCCTGTTACCTTTTGCATTAGCTTCTCCAGAGCCTCACGGGGAATGCAGGAACTGCTACTTGTCAGTTTGTTTCCAGGGAGAGCATCTGTACTCTGAGCATTTTGGGTCTCTGCAGAGGAAAGATGCAAGTGGATCAGACAGGTCCAAACTTACTCGGAACTATTCTAAACAGGATCTCTCAGTCTTTTAAGATCTTACTGGCACCCACCCACCCCCCGGGGGTTAACAGGGAGCAAATGTCCTACAGATATCAAGTAAACATAGATCTGTCTGTTCTGGGATACAGCTAATGATTGATTGATTGATTTAAAATATATTTTTACCCCAGCTTTCTCCTTAAGAAAGAGTTAAGGCACCTTACATCATGTATAGGCAGTATTTAACAAACCATGGGTACACAAATACAAAAAAAGATGAAATAAATACCATAATTTAAAAACCCCGCAAGCAACCCCAAAACATATTCAAAGCCGTAAGATAGAGCAATCCATTTAAAACTCCACTTGGGTAGCTAGTCACTGAGGAAAAGCTCGCCTGAAGAGAAAGATCCTTGCCTGCTTGCGGAAGGACAGTAAAGATGGGGCCAGCCTGGCTTCCCATGGGAGGGAGTTCCAAAGTCTGGGAGCAGCGACGGAGAAGGCCCTCTCCCGTGTACCCACCATATGCATCTGTGAGGGTGGCGGGACCATGAGAAAGACCTCTCCTTATGATCCTAACCACTGAGTAGGCTCATAAACCCAAGCTAGCACAAAGATGGGGTCTCCCATTATGAGCTGGCTTGGGTGTTAAGATAATTAGAGGCCTTCCTTGTCTTGTCTTAAGAACAGAGTCTGCCTGGTCCAAGACATACCTGCTGCACATTTCTCAAAGCCCTTTGACAGGCATAGCTTTTCTGCCAAGATCTTCCCCAAAAGTGAGGGCACCAAGAGGATTGGACGTGGCCGGCCAGGCCTGCAGGGCCTGACCAAAGTGTATGGCATCAGACTGACACAGGTCCTGCTGTGGAGGCTCACGTGGCAGTTCTCTAGAAGAAAGAAAAAAAAGGGAGCCAAAGCTGTCAAGAGAAGAAAAAGGTAAAACAGACTAGTAGCCTCTCCTCTGCTGCTTGGCCTTTTGGCTCATAAATACTTTTAAGAAGTATTTTGAGGGGTTTAGCAAGTCTATTCTTTACCAAGTCTATTATTTATTATTCTATCCTGCGTAAAACTAAGACGGAAGAAGAGAAATGCATTCTCGCAACATCTGAATCATTAGCCTCCCTTACAGGGAGTTTCAATCATGCAGCATGGACGAAGGAACAACGTGTGGCCTAGTTCTCTTTTCGTACAGATCTAACTGCTCAGTCTGTAGGGCTAATGGTAGTTAAAGATAACACATCACTAGAAGAGGAACAGATGGAAAAGGAAAGTCCAAAACTGCAGGACACGTGATTGCAACATGGAATGTAATCCCTGTGAATCAAGATCAGCTAGAAACTATTAATATCAACAATTAGGTTGATGTTGAAAAAGAAATGTGAAAAAGTCAACCAAGGCATTATTTTCAATGGATTTCCATTCGTAAACCAAAAAGTATGTTAACTGAGGCGTTCATAAACCGAGATACTACTGTATCACAATAGCTATAGTGAGGAAGAAGAAAAAGAAGACGACAACGTTTCCACTCTACCTGAGAAATCAAAAATGAATTTAAAGAGGAGTTGCTGAGAGATCAACAGAGGAATATATTATCTGAGCAAGATAAAATAAAGACAGAAACAGTCCTGAAGAAGCAGAAGAGATGCATGGATGACAATTCCGTCTTTTGAGGAAGACCTTGAAATTTTAGAAAGTGAAATGAAATCCACTTTCAAAGTATTTAAAAGATATAAAGCACCAGAAGTAGATGGTGTATCAATAGAACTGTTTCAACCTACAGATACTGAATCTTAACAGGAATATATCAACTAATATGGAAAGCAAAACAATGGCCAACAGACTGCAGACTACAAACACTGAATATACACTCCAATCTCCCAAAACGAAAACATCAATGATTGCAATAATTATAGGCTCATCATATTAATTTCCCATGCAAGAAAAAAAATGATGCTAAAGTTTTAACAGGAATTTTTTCTTTACTATTAATGGAGCTAGAAATGTCAGATGTTCATGCTTTACTGATGAAAGGAAGTGACTCAAGAGATCATTTTGCAAACAAACCTTGGCCAGTATCGTGTTCAATAGTTACACATTTGGAACTCCAGCTGCAGAACTGTATAAAAATTACAGAATAATTTGATTCCAAAAGAGGGGAGAATGATGTGTCTGCATCAGAAAGCAGTATGGGTATGTCTTACACGTAACCATATAAGCCTACATCCTGAGATTCCTCGAGAAATGAACTAGAGATGCTCTTCTGGAATATCAAGACCATTCTCTTTTAGAACAGCACATTGTTAAAGGATGAAGTTATTCTGTTTTTGGTACCACAAACAATACCGCACCTGCTTGAACTCACCATTTGTCTTACTGAAGTCTGACAGACTGCGATCCATGGATGACCAGAGTGGGTTGATGTTGTTCTTGTCAGTGCTTACAATACGCACCAACTTGGTTTGTACCCCAGAATTCTACAAGGCAGGAAAAGAGGTTTGAGATTTAATCCCAGAAACCTGTAAACCTGGCACGGAGGTTACGGCAGGCATCAGTACTGTATGTAACATTTCATGGGGTGTGTCAATCAGACCCATGTTTCCAGTGGACTACAAGGTCAAGCCTCTAGATCACACAGCTATAACTCAGATGCTCTGACCTATATGACTGGTGGCACAAACTATGTCATGGATAGTTTTCTTTCTTACTCTCTCCCTCTTTCTCAGCCGCCTTCCACAGCTTACAAGAAAAATAACTTAGGCCCACCTTTGCACAGATGCATGTTTTATTATTGATGACTGAAGTTCACGGTCTATCCACACCTTATCTAATGCCAGTAACAAAAGTAGTACTTCTTCTGTTTGGGGTCGAGGTACCCTGCCTGTCCTCCAACCATCTCAAAGCAGCAGCGTACCTGGTTCTTCTGTCCCCTGTATCCTGACAACAGTTCTGAATGGTAGATCAGGCTGAGGAAGTGCAACTGGCCCAAGGCCTTTCACTGAGCCTCACAGCTGACTGAGGACTGGAAGCCAGGTCCCCCGAGTCTTAATCCTACACCCAACCCACAATGCTACTCTCCTGTATTGTATCTCATCACACCAAACTCAGGGGACAAGGAAGGGAGCAGCAGCAAGGCAGTCACTGTGGATTATTGTGCCATGACCTATTAGGACGGCAGGAAACAACCTGTAATCAAGACTAACCAAGGCAGCTTCATGGTTAGCAGTGGGCTAACTCTTAGTTGCTCACATACATGGCCAACACAGTATTCCTTGCTCATGTTCTTTCACGTGATTCCCTCCACTCCTCACCTTGCGAGAAATCATGCTCTTCTGAGCCATCCCCTGGATCAGAGTGATGAGATGATGTTGAGCCCTGGAACAAAAAGAAGGGAACATGTGGCAGACAGCCCCACACATGGGACCGTCTGCCCATTGGCCAATGCAGAGCATGGAGACAACTGTCTTGGGGGCTTAGAGCACTCTCACTGCTCCTTTCCAACCTGTCCAGTGGGGGGATACTCACTGGCAGTAGTTGGGGATGGTGCCGGCCTTCATGTCCTTCATGGTGTAAGGATCCACCTGGCAGGCATTCCACCGAGTTTTGCCCTGGCACGTGGTATCTGTGACATGGAGGATGTCATGGCAGGCCACAGGGAGCTCCCCAATGGCCTGCGCCTCCAGGCACAGATTAGACCGAACATAGAAAGAGTCACCAGATGTCACCAGTTTGGAGTTCAGGTCACTCAGCAGCTTCTTGTAACCTAGTGAAATAAGAAGTGTTGGGAACCGTGTGTGTGAAAGCAACAACCGCATAAACAACCACATAGAATGGGTTGGGAAACAGGAGGGGAAGGGAAATAAAAGTAGCAACAGCAGCAAGAGAATCCTGCAGACTGAATCCTGCAGACAGAATCCTGCAAGGAAGATACCAAGACAGTTTGGTGCATGGGACAGAAAATCTAAGCAGCATCTCCTAAAACTTACTCATTAATACAGGGCACAACCTGCTCTAAATCTTCCATCATAACCTACTGCTTTTGCACAGCTTACATTTGCTTCAATGGGCTTGTCAGTTTCAGTTGTGCACTTTTCCAGTGGAACCCCAATGAACTTAAGCCTTTCACTCAGGCTTAACAACACTGGCAAGACAAATTGGAGTGATTTGACTTTGCTGCAGCTTAATTCACAATCCATTTTATGTATCTATTCAGACTAGGTGAGCACACAGAGGGTGCGGACTGTGTTGGCGCCAATGTCCATCCAGTCTGATGCCCCTCAATGGAATGTGGTTTGATCAATGTCACAACCCCCAGCTCTCTTTCCTTCGATCCCGCCCTCTGTGAATCCCTGGCTCTCCTTTGATTGTTCACTGTAAAGCTGGTGGGCAGTTTAAAGTGTTGCAGGGTGAAAAGGGGCAGTTTTTCCAAAGTTCTCCATAATGTACAAATACACTCACACATACTGCAAAAACAGAATGAGATCATCGGCATTGTTTCTATTTCATATTTATTTTTATATCTCTCTTTTTGTCCATGCAGAGGTGTGATCTAGTGTTAAACTAGTATATCAATGTTGTGATAAGGTGATCTACCATTAAACGTGATCATATGCTTTCTAAAAAAATTTTTAAAAAATGCTTCAGAGAAATTAGGGAGAAAGACTGTGGCAGGTCAGTGTTCCCATTCTCCCAAACATAAAACACAACTTAGTATGTCAGCAAAATATCCCTCATCTTTTTTGGAGAATAAAACGACTCCTCACATGGACAAATGTCCATTAGAACTGTTCTAGCTTGAAAAAAGTAGAAGCCCTCAGCAGCAGAGGGAAGCTCTCTGTTGGTAGCAAAAAGAGTTGGAATGATTCATACTGCCCTTTGCATCAGGGGATCAGCTAAAAAAATGAAGAGCAAATTCATCCATTTTATTTGTTGTTGTTTAGTCGTTTTGTTTTTGTCTGACTTGTCATGACCCCATGGACCAGAGCACGCCAGGCCCTCCTGTCTTCCACTGCCTCCCGGAGTTGGGTCAAGTTCATGTTGGTCGCTTCGATGACATTGTCCAACCATCTCATCCTCTGTCATCCCCTTCTCCTCTTGCCTTCACACTTTCCCAACATCAGGGTCTTTCCCAGGGAGTCTTCTCTTCTCATGAGATGGCCAAAGTATTGGAGCCTCAGCTTCAGGATCTGTCGTTCCAGTGAGCACTCAGGGTTGATTTCCTTCAGAATGGAGAGGTTTGTTCTCTTTGCAGTCCAGGGGACTCTCAAGAGTCTCCTCCAGCACCACAATTCAAAAGCATCAATTCTTCAGCGGTCAGCTTTCTTTATGGTCCAGCTCTCACTTCCGTATATCACTCCAGAAAGTTTGAATTTTACTATAAGAAGCTGATGATCAGAGTCACAATCAGTACCAGGTCTTGTTTTTGCTGACTGTATAGAGCTTCTCCATCTTTGGCTGCAGATAATATAATCAATCTGATTTCAGTATTGCCCATCTGGTGATGTCCATGTGTAGAGTCACCTCTTGTGTTGTTGGAAAAGAGTGTTTGTGATGACCAGCTTGTTCTCTTGACAAAACTCTATTAGCCTTTGTCCTGCTTTGTTTTGAATTCCAGGGCCAAACTTACCTGTTGTTGCTTTTATCTCTTGACTCCCTACTTTAGCATTCCACTCCCCTAGAATGAGAAGAACATCTTTGGTGTCAATTCTAGAAGGAGTTGTAAGTCTTCATAGAATTGGTCAATTTCAGCCTCTTCAGCATTGGTGGTTGGTGCATAAACTTAGATTACTGTGATGTTGAAATGTCTGCCTTGGATTCGTATTGAAATAATTCTATCATTTTTGAGATTGCCCTTGTTCTTCGCTCTTCCTTAGTAGCATGTTGGACACATTCCGACCTGAGGGCCTCATCTTCCTGCATCGTATCTTTTAACCTTTTGTTTCTGATCATGGGGTGTTCTTGGCAAAGATACAGGAGTGGCTTTCCCAAGCCTGCCCTTGGTGGGTTT